GTTGAAGTAATTGTATTAGGTAAATAATTTTTTGTTGTCGTGGGATTAACTCATTAAAATTTTACATTCATCTGCCCATTCTGCAAAATATACCTTGGTAAATGCTTGTTTAAAGGATCTCTAACTTTTCTGATTGTTTCATAATATACATGTTTGCTGTTGACCATGGACTCAGACTACCACTAGATTTTACAGATACAGCGTTGTTTTTAGTGCATCTGCTTCAGACAGGGCACCTACCTCTGGGGCTCCGGGCTTCCCACTCCTCAGCAACAGGTTGAAATCTGAGTCCCTCTAGTGGGCAACAGGCAGCAAGATAAAGATGTGTATGGTTTGAACAACTTGTGAAAGTGGGCTGGGGAATGTTTATCTCGTGACTCTTACTCTTTTCATTTACTCAAGTGGAAAGATAACACGAATTTCACTCACAGAAGAGCCACTCTTTATCTCTCCCCCTCCAATTTTTAAAAAAGATCTATCTATCTATCTATCTATCTATCTATCTATCTATCTATCTATCTATCTATCTATACAAAAACCTGGGTACCTGGGTACAGGCCAGATGCGTGGGAGGGTGAGAGGACTCACCAGAGACAGAGTGAGGAACAGAACAAGCAGACTGACTGAAATACACTGCTGAGGGGAGAAGCAGGTGAGACAGGAGAGGTCTGTGCACCATGTGAGTATCTCCCCAGCCAGCGGGGATTGAATTCACGCTGCAGAGGCTGCGGAAAGCTTCATAGTGCTGCATTCAACCACCTGCGCCACCAGGATGGCCCTCCCCCTCCAATTTTTAAGACGTCTAAAAAATTCACAATTATTTCCTGAGTGAACTGTGTGCAAGTGCCCTCTAGGAGGAGATATAGAGATATAGTGTCTGCTGGGAGCATCCCATGTGTCTTGCGTGGCCTTAGGAGAACAATCCCACTGATGCTGTTCTACCCCACAGTCCACCATGAATTCAGTGGGAGTCTGATTCCCTGAGCCCAGCAGAGGACCTGTCTCCCAGAGGATATCTGTAAGTAGATCAGCAGTGTGAGGCTTGGGCAAAGTGATCAAAATGGATGGTGAGAGTTTTTGACCTGTCCCAGAGCACTTGGGGTCAGGACCTAGTGAAATCAGTAATGGTGTTTGATATTAAAATTGCACCTCTGGTTGCCATTTTAGTGGTATGATTGGTGTTGTGAGATTTGGGAGTTTTGTCTTCTGAGGCCTGGGAAGTTACAATTTATATTCTTCCAAAACCATCAGATGTGGCCATTTTTGTAGATTCAGAAAACAACTGAATTGAGAAAGTTTTGGGCTATGTTTCTGTAGTGAGCAGTTGACTAGTCACTAGTCAAAAGTGTTTTGAAGGATCCAAGCGATGCTTCCTGAGGCTATTCGTAAGAATCTAGAAGATTCTCCTGTCTAACCATAGTTGTTACATATTTTTATTGAGAAATGAAGTGTGATTGATAAGATAATCGAAGAGAACAAAGTTGAAAAGTCTGCAGAGAAACACATGTTCAAGACTGAATGTATGAATATGCTTTATAGAAAGTGATAAAATGGGCAGGGCTATACTTGCTTTTTACTTCATAGACATGGCTAGTGCAGTTAATGTAGCCAAAGGCCCTGTGTGCTTTTAAATTTGCCAATCTCTTGAATTCACAGGCCTGGGTTGGTTCTAATGCAGGTTTCCCCGTTTGGGAGGAAAGGCATCCACAATCTATGAAATAAAGGTTGTTGACTGCAGTTGAAGGTTGGTTGTGCTAAGAGCCCACTCCCCACTGCCTTGGTCTGCAGCTCTACTCTGAGACCCCATAGCAGCCCCCTCTGCCCTTCTCCTCTCTGTCTACCCTGCAGTTGTCGTCACCTGCACCTCAAAGCTGGCTGGTCTCAAGCCTCCTCCTTTCTACAATATTTATGAAGCCCAACTCAAATGTGGCAAAGGGAAAGAGTCACCTCCAAGGGTATGTGGAAAAGAATGGGTGAACAAGGATAAAGTCAGGAATAAGGTGAAGTATTCCAGAAACAGAATTCCAGAAACAGCAGATCAGAGGGTCTTGTGAAGCTGTGGTTAGAACAGTAAGATTAAGAAGAACATGGACTCCGGGGGTGGCTTCCTACTCCCTGAAGCCTGCCATGAGGAGCAAATGACAGCCTGTCAAGCACTGGGCCAGCCCCTAATGTCAGTGCCTCCATCAATCATCCTCCCAGCTGAGGATGGCTCTTCTGCCTCTGTGCCCATGTACGGATGCCTTTTCCTTCTCCACCTGGAAGGCGCCCCTGCCTGGCTGCACCAGGAGGAGTCAAGGGCGGGCTACTGAGCCCCATGGTGTTTGTCAAACCATGTTATGATGATCTGATCCACAACCATCTCCCTCAACTGAACTTCAAGCTGCTCATTCATCTTCATGCCCCCTGGTCCCTCCTGGGGCCAGCACCTTCCTTAGGAGGGGTGCCTAGAAGTAGGTGTTGAATTGAATGACTTACAGACACATACAAATAGAAATGTTCTTATGGTCAACTTGGAACAATGTGGGTTAGGACATAATGCAGGCAAAGTTCTAAGGTCTCTGTAGATTTGGAAAGAACTTTATTTTTTGTGAAAATAATGATTGTAGTCCACATTTTGAAGCACACTCTATCAAGAAAGATACTTTGTTGTTAGAAATGGTGGCAAGAGAGGGTGGCTCTACAACACAGTTTGACTACAAGACAAATTTCAAAGAAGAGCCATCGGTTGGACAGTTGTGCCGAGCAGCTCTCTACACCGGTGGGCTGTCCCTTAGTCTCTGCTCTTTTGGGTCATACAGTCAATAGGCTTCCTTAAGAAAAAAGTGAAACACTTTTTTTTTCCTTGGATTCTACAGTGATTTTTGTAGTTTCATGGCCGAGATTACACACAGATCTTTGTATTCCTATTTCATTCCAGAAACAAATCGAGGGATTGGAAACTCAGATTCCACAGCTAGTGAAAAAGTTAAAAATAAATCACCCCTAAAAATTTCAAAACTGAATTCAAAGCTAATTTGAAAGCTAAACAACTGCAGACAGAGATCAATATGCTGGTCATCAGCTATGTATTCTCAGGCCCAGCCTGCCCTTCTGCTCTCCGCTTTGTGGTCTGGGGCCAGCTGTTCCTGCTAGGCTTGGCCAACAGGGCTGACTAATGAGAGGCTGGTGGTTACAATTAATGTCTGCAACCAACTGATCTCTACCCTGGGAGCAATAGTGGGCTCTGATAAGTTGCAACTTGCTATTTTCATGACACTTCCATGACCAACCTCATCACAACAATTCAGAGACACCAGCACCAGTTAGCAGGAACCATTCTTTAGAGCTCTGCATCCAGTTCTTTCCAGCTCCTGGGGGACCCATCCACTGGACAGCACAACCTCCTTAAGAGGGCTAACCCCTAGCATGTGGGCCACCTCAAGTTTCTGAGTTAGGAGAATTCTAATATTTTCCCTCAGTTCCCTCAACCATTGGGCTGCTTTTGGTAGTTAAAATTTCCATATTTCATTTTTACTTGTTTCATCCTTTTAAACTTTTCAATAGGCAGTTAAAATTTTTTTATATTAAATTCTCTGTTAAAATAACTGGAATAGTGAGCATCTCTTGATTGGATCCTGGTAGACTAAATAATTTTAACACTAAAAATTCTTAAAATAAATAAATCTGAAAATGAAATGAGTAAAAACACAGGACAGACAAAATTAAAAGGCAAAGGCATAACTGAAAAGAAATGAAAGACAATAAGCAAGCCTTAAAATAACTCAAAAACATCTCAAAAATTCTGAAAATAAAAAATTCAGAAAACAGAATGTTCAAAATGCAGTCACTGAAAATGAAATAACTTATTAACAAATAGCTAAATAACAAATGAATATACAAATAAATAACCCAGAACCTAAAATCACTGAAAATAAATAACAATGACCACAAGTAACTCTAAAATTACATAACCAGGAAAAAACATAAGGTAACAAACTATTTTCTCTGAAAATTAATAGCTAGAATAATAAAAAAAAAATCCAGTGACTTTTTAGTATTCAAATAAGTAACTGTATAAATAAGTGGCCCAAAACTCCATTAATTAAAAATAGAGTATGAAAATAAGCAACGCAGACGTTACTTGTAAAAGTAATTAAAAAGCAACAGTTCCAAGCTAGCTTGGAAATATATAACTTATAAAACAAAATAACCATAAGTAAGTAACTGAAAAACTAGTATCTCAAAAACTAAATAACCTTGAAGATAAAAGAATTTATAAACACGTTACTTAAACACTTTAACATTAAATACCTAGAAAATTAAAATAAGGGAAAATTAACTAAAAAGTCACAAAACTAAAATTGAACTGAAGAGAACGAATTTAAAAGCTAATAAACGGAAACATAAATATCTCAGATGTTGACGAATAACCACCCCTCTCTGAGATGAACAATCCTGGCACAAAGTTACACAAGCACCACATGAACATTCTTGCCGAGATTGCAGGAGAGCGCAGGGTTATGCCAGCAGCGTTTGAGGCGCTCAGGCACCTCCAAAGTTCAGAAAACAGGTTCTCAACACATTTCTCCACTGGCACCCGATGGGAATTTGGGCATTCTCCGACGGCAGTTTTGATGTCCCCATTTGGGTGGGTGAGTAGGGTTGGACAGACATTTAGTGGGTAGAGGCGGGGGATGCAGCTAAACATCCTGCAATGCACAAGACAGCTTGCCAAAGAATTCTTCCCCCGCCGGCCCTTTGCCTTGAGAACCCCTGGAGTGAGCCCTCCAGTCTTGGGTGGGCTAATCCTCACAGGCCCAGGCATCGCATGGTCCTGCTTGTGCCCAGGGTGCAAGGAAGGTGGAGAGCAGCTCTTCAAGTTCCTGGAAGGCAGCCCTGGGCGTGCCCTGTCAACCCCGCAGATCCAGAGGCTCTGAGGCCACTTGGCTGCTTTCTGCTTAGAGGCGGCACCGCCATCAGCGACCACAGCAGCCTCTCCCACACCAAGGAGGCCTGGGCGGCTCAGCTGAGCCGGAGCGTGGCTGTCTGGAACGGGTGTCAGTTCTCTGCCACGGGGGTCTGCAGGTGGGCTTCCTTCGCTCCCACGGCCTTTGCCTGGAAACTAGTCGTCTCCCCGGCAAGGGCGAGCAACCCAGTGGGCTCCCCAACACTCTCTTCAGTTTTGTTTGTTGTCCTGAAATTCCAAGAAGAAAGTTAGAGAAGCAATGGCTAACAAGTTTGCTTACTTTTCTTCGCTGTCTCACACTCACGAGTCTTGCTCATTGCCGTCTTTTTCTCCCTGGAGGCTTTCTCCCGTTTCCAGAGCAGATTTGGAAGAACAGGTTTCATAATTGTCATCCATCTGGAAAAGTCCCGAGAGCTGGAAGGGAGGGGACAGCGGGGCACGCGGTTAGTGCAGGGGTGCCCAGCCTGCACCAGGCCCACATGGTGATCCGCTGCAGGGTGGGGCCCACGGGGCTCACCCCAACTCTCCCACCTGGTACACTCAGGAGCCCCCTAATTTGACCAGTACCTTCACAGCTAAGGAGAGGGTGATGGGGAGCAAGCTGGCCTGGGAGGGTCTGAGCCACTTTGCAGACCTAGTGACCTCAGCGTCCTGGATGAGGCCCAGAATCAAGTAAAGGAAGGAGAGGTTGGGGACAGGAAGAGGAGGCAGGAGAAGCAGGAATGAGAGAGAACAGGAAAGAAGAAGGAAATAAATTACACTCAGCGCACTGATATCCTTTTCCATATCTTCTGCACCGTCACAATCGTCAAAGGTGTCCAAGGAGGAGCCTTGGGGAGAGAAAAAAGGAAGAATGTGGTCCTGGGCAGGAGGGAGCAGGCAGTGCCAGGGATCAGGAACCCACTCTCCGCATCTGGAACTCCTGTCCCAGGACCAGCACTGCCTCACCTGGCCTTGAGGGAGCAGATGTGTGAACTCCAGCTTCCCCATCCAGCTCTGACATTCTGAGCTGTGACCCAGAAGACATGTCCCCGTGGAAACTTGAGATGAGAGAGGAATAATCACGGGGCTCAGTTCCCTTGGCCTGTAAACTGCAGCTGCATCCTAGACATTCCCGCTTTACCCCACTCTAAATAAGTCGTGATCTCTGCCCCCACACTGCCCACAAGGCAGGTTAGGGCAGGAACATCCACATAAATCCCAGGGGAGGCCGCCCCAGGCTGAGGGTCAGTGAGAAAAGGATCCACAGGATCTGGGTGCAGGCGAGTTTCCATCAGAGAGAATTCAGGGGGAGGATGGCCAGGCCGTGAGGGTGGGCAGGATGTTGGCAGGGAGGCCTTCTGAGCAGAGTGAGGCAGGAAGAGAGGGAGTGGCAGGAGCCAGCAGCTGGGAGTAGGTAGCACACAGTTATCTCAGGGAATAAAGTTGAGCTCCCCAACTTCTCCCTGGAGGCCCTCCAAGCTGTATTCTGGGACCAAAGCAGGTCAAAGGGAGTATGGGGTCAGCCCTTCCTGGAAGCCTCCAGAAAACCCCTCTGATGCCGGAGGTTTCCCTGGCAGCTGTCATAGTCCTCTTGGACTGATGCAAAGCCTGGTTCCATTCCTGGTCCCAGGCCATGGTGGGTGAGAATGGAGAGTGAAGGGTGGAGGGCAGAGGAGAAACTGGGTCAGGGAGGTGCCTCCCTCTGCCCTCCTCCAGGTGTGACATGGGGGTACCCCCAGTAAGCCCCAAAGACTGGTCCCCTTCCATTAGGAGCACAGTAAGAAGGGAGGAGGGTCTGGCTGAAAGGCTGTAAGGGAGGAAGAAGCCATGCCTTTGCCCATCCCCTGCAAGGCAGAAGGGTTGCATCTCCTGGGTCTGCAGCCTGGCTGGGCAGGGCAGGAGGCAAGGCAGGATCCACAGGCCTGACAAGTCCCAGCCATTCCACTGGTAAATGTGAGCCTGAGTGGAAGGAGCCCTGAGGCTGGCGGTTCCTTCCTGACTCTCTGCTGACCCTGTAGGGGAGGGAGGACCTTCAGCGGGCCCAGGGCTGTCACAGAGGGGTGCTCATGGGCTAGTGCATTATCTCAGGGGTCATTTCGGCCATCCCCTCCTCCAGGCAAGGAGCTGCCTGTGCCTGGAAACAGGCTTATCCTGTGAGTACTGCTGGCACCCACAGGCCACTTCCAGCCATGCGCTGTCAGCACAGGCGGCCTCCTGGGCATCTGGTACCACAGGTGAAGATGTGGGATGTGTGGGTTCCCACAGGAACCTCATTCAGTTTATTTTTTTTATTTTTTTTTATTTTTTTTAAGAGGCTCTATCCACATTTTCTTTTTTAATAGAGGCATGTTTTATTTATTTATTTATTTGTTTGTTTTGTTTACACATGCACTGGGTACAGTCAGAAGCGCGGGAGGGTGAGAGAATTCACCAGAGCCAGAGGAGGGAGCAGAGCAGGCAGAAGGACTGAAATACACTGCTGAGGGGAGCAGCGGGCTGCAGGAGAGGTCTGCGCGCCATGTGGGACCCTCCTCTGGAGGCCAGGGAGCAGCCAGGGATCGAACCGGCGCCGCAGAGGCTGCGGGCAGCCTTGCAACCCAGCGCTCAATCGCTGCACCACCGGGGAGGCCCAGAACCTCTTTCAGTTTATAGCAGGGTTTTCTATACTCAGAGTGCAACTGCAGGGAGATGCAAATTTTACATCCCAACACAGTGCACACAAATACAGTTATCAAGTTAAAACAAGTTCATGGAGGGCCTCCCCAGTGGCGCAGCGGTTGAGTGCTGGGTTATGAAGCTGCCTGCAGCCTCTGCAGCACCAGTTCGATCCCCGGCTGCTCCCCGGCCATGGGAGGACGGTCCCACATGGTGCGCAGACCTCTCCTGCCACCCGCTGCTCCCCTCAGCAGTGTCCTTCGATCCTTCTGCCTGCTCTGCTCCCCGCTCTGGCTCTGGTGAATTCTCTCACCCTCCCGCGCTTCTGACTGTACCCAGTGCTTGTATAAATAAATAAATAAATCTTTAAAAAAACAAACAACAACAACAAAAAAACAGGTTCATGGAAAATATGACCCTTATGCTGTGTGCTGCCCTCCTCCATTCTGGTCCATTCTCTGCTCCTAGGCTGGCCTGGCCATTCTGGGAGACAGAGGAGGAAAAGGGCTGTGGAAGGTGATGGGGTCACCCACAATTACCTCACAACAGACCCTTTGAGGGAGAGAGTCTTCTGAAATAGACACAGCTGCTCTGGGGAGCCCTGGGTGTTTGGCAGCAAAGACAATACTCTATCCACCCAGCGCCCCCATGGCTCCTGGAAGAAACCCAGAACTCTTAGACCTTAGTCTAAGAACGTCCTTCGTCTATGGCCCTGGTTTTATAGGGGATGAAGGTGCAGCTCATGGCTGCCTTTTGCTCTATCCTTCTTGTCTCCATATTTAAGCCCTTCCTCCTGGACTCACTGGCCGTGGGTTGTGTGGTGCTTAGAGGCTTAGGCACCATGTGTGCTAAGAGACTTAAGTACTGTGGATGTGGCAGCACTGGGGAGACACCAGAATCTCGGGCCAGGGTTTGGCAGGTGATGGGCACGAGTGATAAGGGAAAGTTCCATTGCCTGTGGCAGGAGCAGGGGCTTTGGAGCCAGTCAGACCTGAGTGCAGTTCTGGCTGTGCCACTCACTCCCTGGCTGTGTGGTCTTGGGTAAGCCACTGAACCTCTCTGAGCATCAGTTTCTCTGTCTCTAAAATGGGGATAACAATATCTATTTGCAGTGTTGATATTAAGGTTAGTAAAATATTTATATAGTAAATTGTCTGGTATATCATAGAAATTTAATAAATAACATCCACTGTGATTAATTTTAATAATCATTACAATAATCCTCAAGAAAAGGTCTCAGAACAGCACTAGCACCAGCTATGCTTTTATTATACTTACGTTTGGGGGAGATTTGTTTGCTGTTGTCTTCATCTTCACAAACATCTGGGGAAAGAAACAGATTATGAAGGTAATAAATAACTTTAAAAGGAAACACAAGAGCAAATACACACACACACACACACACACACACACACCAGAAAAACCAAAGCAAACACACAGGCGCTTGGCCTATATTCAATTTCATTATAGCAAAATTTGAACTGGAAGTTGTTTTCTTGAAAAATGTCAGATTAGTCAAAGTTCTGTGGTGTGTAGGGAAGAGAGACTCCAAGTCTCTGGGGCACCCCCAGTCCATGTACCAGAATAAGCATAAAAAGTGTCTGTGAGAAGAACGGGAAATATGAGAAATGCTGTAAGGACTGGTTTCTCTTTCCCTCCATGGGTGATCTTTATAACCCACATCACATAAGCTTAAAGGGTTTAAGGAACTTACTTTTAGCACTTAATGTTTAGATTTCTAAGTTTTATTTTTGCTTATAAAAGTAAATAAAATTTGTTAACAACTGAACCCATTCATCAACTTAAACTGTCTCATTAGACTACAGGTTTTTGGTATTCAGAAAATTACACTTTGAATAAAGTCATGCCTTTTTCTTACTGTCCACTAGATGGCGCAACAGGACTACGTAGACCCTGGTAGTTCAGCATCAGCTCTTACCCCATAGATTTCAAATGGGCACGTGTTTTATTTCAAATTAGATTTTTCTCTATGCCTTACAATTATGCAAAACTCTTAAAGAATCACCACCATCACACAAACAAGTATTTCATTTTCACTTAGTGAGTGGGGTTGGCGGCCCAGAACTTCTTTAAAGCAATGCCTAGGTCTTAAGCTTTTCTTTGTCCCGCTAAAGGACAAGCACAAGTAACTAGTTACTGATGATAAAATGCTAACATCAATCAGTGCAAAGAGTCATCTCATTTAATTCTTGCAGCAAGACTATACAACAGTACTTCCATTTTGTCAAATAAGTGATAAAAATGTTAGGGGGAAAAGGATGTCCTGAGCTAATTCCATGCAGGCTTTGTGGACTCCACCCCCACTCCAGACCAAAGCCATAAGGACACTGGGAAACACAAATCCCATCACCACCAAAGGGAAGGTGGCTGGGACCTGAAGGTGGAGTTAAGCAGCCAGGTTTGGTATAAAACCAGACACGTGGGGCCTTGGGGGGTTCCCTTTTGGCTCTCCGCCAGCTCGCAGCACTCAGCCAGCTCTCAGAGTGCCATTGGTTTTCCAGGTCGTTGGATTGGATAGGACGCATTAAAGACTTTATTTCCCTATTTTCTCCCTGAGTTGTACATTTCCTCATTTCCCCTTCCCTTGTAAATAAACCTTTTATTAACCTTTTGTGTGTGCCTGTAGTGGACTATTAATAAGTTCCTTTTAAGCACACGGGTGAGGACCCACAATCAGGCAACCCGTTTTATATCGGGGCTGCTCTATAATAAAAAGAAGTTAAACACAAAGAGGTGAAATAATTCATCCAAAAATAAAATGGAGCTGGATTTCAACTAGGGTCTATGAGCTCAGAGCTTGAGCCTTTAACTGTCAAGCAACACTGCTCACTTTCTGCCTAATCCATTCTAGTAACACTCAGGAGCTCATACATGGTAAGAACTCCAGTATGTTTCCATGGGTAGTGGCCCAGCCAATAAACTTGGACACCTAGGGTGGTTTGTATCTGAAGCATCCATCTTTTTGCACACCTGCCTTTGGTCAACAGGAAGCAAATAGCTCCCAAACAATTCAGTTAATTGCTTTCAGATTCCAAATATTCTAATAGCACATACTTTTAGTGCATTTTCTGTTGCTAAAAGTCCCTACTAGCTTTTAGGGCAGTCTAAGCTTGCTATCTCAGATTCTCAGAGCTGTTAGGACTTTGGGCAAAAGAACTTTACAACCGAGAAACTACCTTCTAATTAGCTGCCCTCAACAGCCCAAAGGTGAGTGGCAGGTGTCAAGAACAAGCCACCTGTTTAGTAGTTTTCAGTCAAAGCCTTGCCCATTTCATCAGAGATTTAATGGGAATTTTTAATCAGTAAGATTAAAACAAAAAACCTTCCAAACTTCATATCATAGCTCCAATTTTTAAAATATGCATTTCTATAGACAAAAGAGTCTGGGTTAAAAGTGTGGAGCAGTTATTTCTGACTCTGTTTGATTTGCATTTCTATATACTTTTCTAAATTTTTGAGACTGTACATATATGTTCTTTTTATGTTATGTTTCAGAAAAGGAAGCCTAAAATCATTAAAACCAATTGGATATCTAAAATAATGCACAATCTCACTAGAGTAGGCTGTTAGAACTTATTTTTTATTATAATCTGATAATACATGAAATAAGTTTGAATAACAATAAATAATAAAAATAATGAAAGTAACTGAATTATTTAGACCTAAAAGGAAATCCCACAAAAATCAAGAAATGTCCTATACTAGATGGTCCATAGGTATTCTGGTAGCACCTCCCTCCCTCCAAGACCCTGAGGGCCCAGACAAGGGACGCACAGTTAGACATGGAAGGTGGGGAATGCTCAAGGATTTGAAAACAGATTTTTCCAGTTTTCTTTGTGGCAGAATGGTTACTCACATTCGATGTAGCATTTTTTTTCCCCTCCCTCATTTTTAAAAGGTGAAGTAAAGTTGCATTATAACATTATGTAAGTTCCAGGTGTACATCATTGTTAAATATATGCATTTTTCATGGCCAGGGCTTTGCAAATCATGGGCTCAGAATACAATTCAGAATTCAAAAATTTCAGCATACTCTTGTTATAGGGCAGCCCCGATATTGAACGGGTTGCCTGGCTGTGGGTCCTCACCCGCGCGCTTACAAGGGACTTATTAATACTCCACTACAGGCACACACAAAAGGTTAATAAAAGGTTTATTTACAAGGGAAAAGGAAATAAGGAAAATGTACAACTCAGGGAGAAAATAGGGAAATAAAGTCTTTAATGCGTCCTACCCGATCCGCCGACCTGGAAACCCAAAGTCACTCTCAGAGCTGGCCGGACGCTGCGAGCTGGCGGAGAGCCAAAATGGGGGACCCCTCCAAAGCCCACGTGTCTGGCTTTATACCAACCTGGCTGCTTAACCCCACCCTCAGGTCCCAGCCACCTTCCCTTTGGTGGTGATGGGATTTGGAGTTCCCAGTGTCTTTGGCTTTGGCCTGGGGTGGGGGTGGAGTCCACAAAGCCTGTATGGAATTAGCTTTAGGACATCCTTTTCCCCCTAACACTCTGAGCTAGTAAAATACTATTAGCTTAACTTCTTTTTTTTTTTTAAAGATTTATTTATTTATGCATACAAGAACTGGGGTACAGGCCGGAGGTGTGGGAGGTGAGAGGATTCACCAGAGAGAGTGGGGAGCAGAACAGGCAGATTGACTGAAATACACTGCTGAGGGGAACAGCGGGTGAGTAAGGAGATGTCTGCTGTGCCATGTGGGTTGCTCCCTGGCTGGCCAGGGATTGAACTTGTGCCACAGTGCCTGTGGATAGCTTCGTAGGTTGCGTCTTAACCCTTCACGCCACCAGGGAGGCCCCTAGCTTAACTTCTTTATGTTAGCCAATTGCACTAGAAATAGCATACTCACCTATTCTGAGACTGTCCTGTCATTACATTGCTTGAGCTTTTAGAAGAATTCTCCTACCAGGCTCTATTGCTTCTGGCCTGAGGAATTCTATCTTTGTCCTCATGCCAGTAGACCACAGTGGAGGAGGTAATAGATCAACAGGAGGAGGTCAGAATACTAATAGGTAGAGGGGAATGTGTTTAGGGCTCAGATGATCCCCTGGACATCTCCCAATATTTCCATGCCCAGATGTAATTGTACATAGGCAAGTGAAATGGACTGATGGGTCCATGGAGAGCTCAGATTCTGCTACAAAGGTTTCTCCATTTATGAGCCCATTGTGAAGGCTTCAGGATGCTGAGTAATGAGCTGGATGACACCTGTTAGCCAAGTCATCCATTCAGCTTGATTGTTTGGAAACTTTTCTGCAATAGATATTCTCTGCAGAACATTAATAGGTCTATGTGCCTCTTCCCTAACTAGTTAATCTTGCAACTTGATGCTGATTATCGTTTTGTAATTTAATGTTGGTTATTCTCAGAGAAGGGTCAAGAAGGAGAGGTAAGGACCCATCCTGAGAAAGCAAGCACTATCTTGTTTGTTTCATCTGAGTTTCTGTGTAATTTTGGAAGGAAGAGAAGATTCTCTTTCAGCAAGGGGACCGTGTCTGCCAGCCCAGGAAGATCAAGGGCATATATCCAGATATCCTCACCCAGGTTATAGGATCCTACATCTTCCCTGTAAGGCTGTGACTTTCCTGATTATCTACTGGCACTAGGAGCCCAAAATGATTGGTCACAGACTTGCTGAGCCTAAGAATTCCTCCTTCTCTTAAGCACTGTGCTCTGCTGTAGGTGATGAAGGCTGAACTTTGGCAAGGAGGACCTCTGAGTTTCATACTGTGCTTTAAAATTGGTGATTAACGAATCTGTCACTTTCATCATCAGGGGTGGTTAGCAATAGCCTCCCAATTGGTCCTGATAGTTCACATTTTCCCCCAAATCTCTTAAATGCTAGGGACATTGCACCAGCTGGTAGATCCCTCTCTACCTGTAACTGCTCCCTGGTCACCATGGGTGTAGATCTCATTAATGAAACCACTCCCGCAGGCCAGGTACCAAAAGGCCTTGATGGAGGACAGGAATAGAAAAAACTGAAAAGGAGGTGCTTAAGACCAGAAACCTGGCTCATACATGGAGGTGGGGGCATAGCCATTGACCCAGCTATGGAAACCAAGATCCTTAGGTGCTGACACCTAGATTACAAAGCATAACATCCAAGCAGGTATCAGAGCGCATCCAAAGGTAAAGATATGGAGATTGAGCCCATTGTGGAATCTCCGGTCCCTTTCTGATTCTACTTAGTTATCAAAATCAGCTACTAACCCGAAGGTTCACAAGGAGTAAGCCCCTCCCAAACAATAGACTCTCAGTGCAGGCTCTGCACAGGCTAGGGGCAGCACTCTGTCTGCCCACCTGTGACTATGCAGATTCTTCTTTTCACCAACTCTCTCCTCTGCAGGGCAGCAGCTTTCTGCCTGCCCGTGACCTGTACCATGCTGGGACTTCTCTTCCCCGACCTCCCTCAGCGGTCTCTTCACTGACCTTCCTCAGCGGAGGCAGCTCTCCTCAAGGCTGACCGCCTGCAACCATGCAGGCCTCTCTTAGCAAACCTGTCCCTTTGGGGCAGCTCTTCCTGTCTGCTTGTGTCTATGCAAGTGTCCCTTATTCTTCTGTCCCTTTCCCTAATAAACCTGCCCTTTAAATATAACTAACATCTCTGTCTTGTGGAGAAACTTGCCTGGGAAACTCGCTGTGCGTCACTGAAAGGGGAGCTCTGGTGAAACCTTTCCTAGAGTAAACCCAAGGACCCCACACTCCAAACCCACTAACTCCAAAAATGACAACAGCCTCAATAACCCACCTATGCAACACTTTACCCCTCACCAACAATATGATCCTCCTTGCCATTTGACCAGCAGGTGATCCAACACCAGAAGTCCATTGTTTCTAGGACCTCTAGTACTGTCTTAGTTCAAATTCCCCAGAAGCTGATTGTGCAAGCAAGTTATGGAGAAAGGGCTTTCAGATGAAAACTATAAGGCACTGAGGGCAGAAGACAGGAAAAGGAAGAAACCAGCCAAACCCCAGCCTGAGGCTGATCTCAGGGGAAACTCTGCAGCAGGGATGGCTCCTGAGGTCCCATCTTGAGGCAGAAGAGCTAGCTTTTGTATGCAGAATTGGTCAGCCATTTTGCTGGCTGTAAGCCACTCTTGGGGGCATAACCTCAATTTCCTGGTTAGCTGCCCCTGGGCAGCTGAGGGCAGTTCCCAGAAGGGCACAACTATAAGCTGTTAGCAGCTAACTTCATAGCAGTTGGACAATGAGTAGCCACCTGATCAGGATCTGGGTGAGGTTCAACAGCTCTACAATACTACTGTGTGTTTGACTAATCCCAAACTACAATCTCAATGACTAAATCCCCAAAACTCTTAGTATGGGCCTTTGTAAAAACATAGAGTAAAAAGTCTTTTGGAAAAGATTGCCTTTAAATAGTCAAGAAAAGAAAAGATGACAACAAAATAACACATTAAAAACCCTATAAACATATAATAGATTATGTTATTAAAATACAAAATATAAAAAGTGCCTCCACACCTGCTTTTTTTAAAAATTTTTTTTTTAATAGAGGCATGTTTTATTTATTTATTTGTTTGTTTGTTTGTTTGTTTGTTTATACACGCACTGGGTACAGTCAGAAGCAGGGGAGGGTGAGAGAATTCACCAGAGCCAAAGCGGGGAGCAGAGCAGGCAGAAGGACCAAACACACTGCTGAGGGGAGCAGCGGGCGGCAGGAGAGGTCTGCGCGCCACGTGGGACTCTCCTCCTGTGGCCGGGGAGCAGCCAGGGATCGAACCGGTGCTGCAGAGGCTACAGGCAGCTTCGCAACCCAGTGCTCAACCGCTGTGCCACCGGGGAGGCCCGCCTCCGCACCTGCTTTACTTTTTTGGTACACCTGCTTTCCTTTTTTGGTCTCATACCCCATTCTGCCTACCAGAAGAATGACATGACACTGGACCTGAAGTCTTGTGGGGAAGCACCTGAATCAAGCGCTCCTTACCTGGCTGTGGAAAGCTACAGGAGGAGGTAATTCCATAATGCCCGGATAGGATAAGAAACAAAGTGCCAACTTGCAGTGTCTCTATTCCAAAGCAGGGCATCCTGGCAGTGCCTTTATGCCTAAGTGGCTTAAGAGGAAAGCTCTTCCAAGAAGAAATCACTTCTCTGTGCAAAACATCTGTCCTGCATTTTAATTCTGTACTAATTAGAGTTTCACAAATGAATAGCAGGAAATTGATTTTATACCTTTTTTCTCACTCACATAATTAAGGAAGGGCTGAGATTCAAGTGATATCTTGCTCAGCTTCTAAGCAACTGGTGTCTTCCCACAGCTTCTGTGCTCCATCCTACCGTTAATCCAGATTTTCCTTGCTACTGGTACCTCATTCCATATCTTCGATGGTGCATGTGTTCGTCCCTGTACCAGCTGGAGTAGGGCTGACTCACACCAGATCCTCTCTGGTCTAAAGCATAGAGGAGCTGCTTTATCCTCCTCACTAACCTTTAGCTTAAAACCTGTCCCTGCTGTGTGGATGACAGCAAGCTAGGGGATGTTTGAAGAACAATCAGCAACTAACTGACTGCAAATTTTCTTCAAGTTGGAGAAGTGAGGAGGAGAAATCCCCTTTCATCTTCCCCAAAGCTGTTTCACTATAGCTCCCTTTTCTCCTCTTCCCTGTCCTGAAATGCCAACTACTATAGTAGGTCATTTGGGTTAGATTAGTTTAGCAAATAAACATTTGCTAAATACTGAAGTTCCAAGATGAATAAGATGCACCCTGAGCTAAAGCCCTCTGCCCTTAGGCTTTGCAGAGTAGTTTGCTAGCCTGCGATTACTCAATGAGCACTTTTATTTGTTTGTTCACTAAACATTTACTGAGCACATATATGAGTGTCAGGCTCTTGTATGGTATGAGGCCCGAGGGAAGCTAAAACTAATAAGACCACCTCTCTGCCCTAGAAGAATTCATGGTTGAGTAGGAAGAAAAATGTAAACACGTCATAAATGTATAATATAGCATGCTAAGTGCTGCAATGGAGTATTCCACAAAATCAGGGGTGCAGGGCCTCCCTGGTGGCACAGGCGGTTGAGCGGTTGAGTGCAGCACTGTGAGGCCGTCCGCAGCCTCTGCAGTGCCGGTTCGAGACACGCCTCGGAGCAACCCCACATGGCGAGCAAACCTCTCTTGTCTCGCCCACTGCTCCCCTCAGCAGTGTATTTCATCATTCTGCCTGTTCTGTTCCTGCTCTGTCTCTGGTGAATCTTCTCACCCTCCCTGTGCATCTGGCCTGTACCCCAGTTCTTGTATAAATAAAATAAATCTTTAAAAAAAATCAGGGGTGCAGAGAAGAAAAAGAGAGGCTCAGCTATCTACCAGCTCCCTTACCCCTTTCCACTTCTGTCATCTCTTTATTTTAGGGCCTGGGGTACCTCCATTCGGATGAGGCCAATGAGTCTACAAAAATGAAGCAAGCTCCTATATCTGAATTGGATCACAGGCAAAGGTTTATCCAATAAGAATTCATTGGGTACCTCCTGAGTGCCTTGGACAAGAAGAGGAATTTCAGATGGAGAAAGTTTCTAAGTGGGCAGGAATAGATAGGAGAAGGAGCATTGGTGAGAATGTAACCCTGAAGAAGTGTGAGTGGATCTTCCTCCAGACAAGGACGAGTAGAGAGAGGACTAATGATCGAGAGTTCTGAGTGGAGCAAGGGACTCTGAACATGTTAACATCAGAGGGTACATTGGTGAGGCAGGGCAGTCTAGTGAAAGCAGGAATAGAACTGGAGGTACTCGTAGGTGTCATCTAACAGTCAGAAGCAAGGGCGATCAAGGTTTTAGAATGGCAGAGGTGACCGCAACTAGCGACACAACAAAAATACTAGGAAAGATACCCAAGGCCTGGGGTTAGGGAACATATATTGTTTTTAATTGGAAGTTTCTTGTAATAAGCTAAATATTGAAAAGGCAGAGAAGTGGGTTGAAAAGGCAGAGAATGTTGAAAAAAATCATTAAGAGCCATCCTGTATAATCAATGGGAACACTGTAACATTTGACATAAAAAAAAAATCAGTACACAGCAGTGCCTCCTTCAAACTGTAGATTTCCTTGAACTGATTTTTTTTTTTAAATCAGTACTCTCAAATTTAAGCCAGTTTGAATTGATTTTTACAAATTTTATGCATCCATAAACACAAAGAGAAAATATATACTTATATATAATTATATAGATGTTGGCCATAGTAATTCAGAAAACACTGCTGCAGTCCCTGCTTACTGGTTTCTGGCATGCTCGCCCAATTCTCTGCCTTCTGTGCTGGGTGCCCAGAATACTGATTCTGGGTCCATCTCTCTTTCCAAGGTTAGCTTTACTGGCCCTGAATTAGGAATAAACATTTTTTCTACCACCTGAACCCAAATTATATGACTCAGTGAGAGAAAGATCATATATTCTGGGGATAGTGATAACATGTTCTTTGTTCAGATGTCCCAGCTCTGAGCATAGCACGAGGTCTCAACCCCCAGAGGCTCCCCATTACCTACACCAGCATAAAAACTCTCTCCCCAGCCTGACACTTGGGCGTCCCTCCCCCTCAGCCTCATCTCCCCCAGTTCTACCCACGAGACTGGCTGAGGCTCCAAATCCTCACTGAACACGCTCACTTCAAGGCAGCTCAGTGACTGTGAAGGGCTCCAGGGCCCACCCTGTATCGCCTGTGACTGTTCTATTTGCCCAGTTGGGGGATGGGATTGCAGTCTGGCCTTCCAGGCCCTGTGCTCTGGCTCTCTGCCCGGACTGGGGCTTTGTCTTGCATTCCACCTTGTGGAGCTGCCTACCCCAGAGCCCTTCCTTTGGGGGCTAATCTTTCCTTCAGTCTCCCTAGGCCTCTGGAGAGTTTCCCAGGGGTCTGCTAGACTCCATCCAGGGGTTTCACTCTCCTCTCTTTGCAAGAACCCTCTGTGACTCTGTAACTCCTGGGCACAAGGCCCCTCTGCCTGGCAGACTCCACATCCCTCAGGGGCTCCCAGTGTCCATCTTAACACCTGAGGGCCCAGGTTGCTGGGGTCCCCGTATGCCTTGCCAGAGTGAACAGTGATTATGCCCAGCACTCCCCAAGGTTGAGGGTTGTGTAGGGCCCTATAGGAGTGAACAGGGTGATGTCATATGTATCAGAGTTGTGTAAAGGACTAGAGGACATACGGTCCTGACATTCCTGCTCTTGGAATCTTCCATAGCTCCCTGCCCCATTGCCTGATGGCCCTGCAATCTGCTCCTGGAGTCTCATCTCTTCTAAGGGAGCAGCCCGAGGTTCTGAGGGAGCAGCCAGAGGCTCTGCTCCTGCTCACTCAGTGTGCCATGCTCCCTCTGAGTTCCTAGAGCCCTGGCTGTTGGAACCGCTCTTGGTGACATTTCATCAGAGCCTGCTTGGCAAGCCCTACTGTGGAGTTCTGCTGCCAAAAAAAGTGTGAAATTGACCCTCTGTTTGCCTGCCTGCAGTAGGAAGGATCCAGGATCATACCTCTGGCCTGCCTTGTAGTTTAGTTTCTTTTTTTCTAAATTACACGCTAGAGTCTGGTTCTGCTTCTTATCTAGATTTTACATTCCTGCCACAAACCAGGGAGCATGGCGCCAGCATCTGAAGAGGACATGTAAAATGTGGTTCTGAATTGTTAATAACTGAATAGATACCATGTCCTCATAACAAATATGTATGTTTTTCTGCAGGTAGGGCAAGGTGAAACAGCTAAAATTTTAAACTCTAAATTAAGCTTGATACTGTTAAGATATCATTCTCACAAAACTGATCTATAGATTTTACAAAACCCTAATCAAAATTTCATTAAGCTTTTTGGTAAAAATTGACAAACTGATTCTAAAATACATACAGAGATCCAAAGGATTTAGAATAGCTGAAAGAATTTTAAAAAGGAAGAATTAAGTTGGAGGAGTCAAATGATGTGATTTTAAGGCTTATTTAATGCTACAGTAATCAAGATAGTGTGCTAAAGCCAAGATAGATCAGTGGAACAGAATAGAGCTATTATACAAATAGATGCTTTTATATAAACAGTCAATTGGGGAAAGAATAGTCTTTCTGAAAAATGTTAATGGAACAACTAGATATCAACATGCAGAAGATTGAACTTCGATCCACATTTCACATCATACTTCAAAAAGCCTTAAAATGGATCAGAGACCTAAGTGTAAAATGTGAACAATAAAATTTCTAGGAGAAAACTTTAGTGACCTTAAAAAAAACATTTCTTAGGGCACAACACTAATAGTATGAGCCATAATTGCTTAATTGGGTTTCATCAAAATTTAAATCTTCTGTTCTTCAGAAGTTACTCTTAAGAGAATGAAAAAACAAATTTCACACTCAAAGAAAATATTTACAAAGCACACACCCAATAAAGGACTTGTAACCAGGGTATTTTTAAACTCTCAAAACTCAGTAATGAGAAAACAAGGAGCAAAAAATTTGAACAGACACTTCACCAATGAATTTACATGGATGACAGAGAAGCACATGAAAAGAGGTTAAGAAAATCAAATTAAAGCCACAAGATATACCATTGTATACCTTAGAAGATATAAAACTAAAAAAAAAAATACCAATTGTTGATGAGGATGTCAAGCAAGTGGAACTCTCATAGACTGCTATGGCAATGTAAGATGATGTAACACTTTGGAAAAGAATGTAGCAATTTCAAAAAGTTAAATCTGCACCTGCCATATGGCCTAGCCATGACATGTTTAGATATTTATTTACCCAAGAGTAATGAAAATACAGGTCTACAAGAAGATTTGTTCTTGAATGTTAATAGTAAGTTTTATCCAAAATAGCCCCTCCAAAGTGGAAACAAATAAAATGTTCATTAACAGGTAAATTAACAAAGGAATTGGGGGGTATATCTAAACAATGGACTGCACAGGGATATACTATTGAAAGGGATATACTATTGTTACACAAACAACATGAAGGAATCTCAAAATAATTATGCTGAGAGAACCCATATGCAAAAAATAGTACATATTGTCTGATTCTTTTTATAGAATTCTATTTTTTTTTTAAATATTTTTTAAGATTTATTTTGATTTATTTATACAAGCACTGGGTACAGTCAGAAGCGCCAGAGGTGAGAGAAGTCACCAGAGCCAGAGTGGGGAGCAGAGCAGGCAGAAGGACCAAAGTACACTGCTGAATTCTAGAAAAATCAACTACTCTAAAGCGACAATGATCACCTAAGGAGTAAAGGGAGATGAGGAAGGGCAGAAAAAAAGGTGATAGAAAGGAGCATCGGGAAGGTTTTGAGGGCGATAAATGTCTTCATTATCTTGATTGTGGTGGAGTTTTCACAGGTGTGTATGTATATCAAGTCTTATTAAATGTATATTTTAAATATTTGAAGTTTATTCTATCAATTATACCTCAATAAAGCTATTTTTATTTATTTATTTATTTTCTTAGCTCATTGGTTATTTTGTACAGTGTTTGATGTCTTCCTTGCAAGTTTTGTCTTTTTCCTGCTCCTTTGTTTGGTGTCCCTGTATTCCATCTATAAGTGAAACCATCTGATATTTATCTTTCTCCTTCTGGCTCACAATATTTTGCTTAGCATAGTCCCTTCCAGCTCCATCCATGTTGCTGCAAATGGCACGAGTTTATCTTTTTTAATTGCTGAGTAGTATTCCAGTGTACTCAATGAAGCTATTTTAGAATAAAATAGAATAGGCTCTGTAGAGAAACTTTAATAAGTGAAAATGCATATTCCTAGGCATTAACTGTAGCTATCCTAATTCCACAGTTCTGGGGGGGCATGATCCAGAAATATGCATTTGGAGCAAGTCTTTCAAACAATTCTAATTCTAATAAATAGGAAGTGAAAGCTAAGGTGGAATTGTCTCTGCCTGGCTGAGTGTTGAAAGCGTGCCTGGATACCCACGCAGAGTCCTTTGGCAAAGACTGGAAGTTATTGATTTTAGATGGTTAAGGAAACCTCTGCCCAGTCAGTAACTGAACAAAAGTTAAAGTGGCAAGTTGTCTCAAAATCCCCTTTGAGAAGCACTGATCTAGGGAATAAGGATTTCTAAAACAACCTTTTGATTAACCATGTCGTTTTCAGAAAAAAACAAAGTAACTTCTTTTTTAAACTAGAGTTGTTACAACTTTCTGTTTTATGCATCCAGGACAGTCATATTCAATTATCATAACATATATTTAGGGCACTATCAATAGTTTCAAAGCAAAAGTAAATCATCATTCCCCTCATCTTACTGTTATACACATTTAAATAAACTATATAACCCTGTGACTATTTCCCGGCAGAGGTCTCAGTGTACATCAACTTGGTTGTTGTGACACAAAACTTTGTGATGGTTTTCTGTCGCCCTTCTCTGTCTCTTTTCACACCTAACAATGCACCCACTCTCGTCCCCGTAACCAGCTGATGACCAGAGATGAGGTAAGAAGAGTATGAAGTTGTTTCATTCTTGCTAAGTTTCTGAAGACAATGTTAATTTTCATTTTTATGCTATTTTCCTTACCAAAAATGCAAACAATTGCCAGTAAAAGTGATAAGACATAGATTTTTCCATACGAGACTAATATTTCTTAACCCTGGCAATATTATCTGACAGGAATATTAGAACTCACTCAATTGATGAAATTTGCGAGGATTTCCCCAACAGTTGAATTTCAGTATGAACAGTGAGCTTTGTGATGTTTTAGTTGCCCTGATCCATCTCTCCTTACCTTCCTTATGGTAGCCTCAGACCCCAACAGCCTGTGATCACAGTGAAAATTTGCATTCTGGCAGCTGTGTGAGGGGGCAGAATGGGGTTAGTGCACCTTCAAAGTTTCATTCCTCATGAACTGTCATTATTTGACCTGTTTGGGATTCTTTGGAATACTCTACTTGCAAAGCTGTTTATAGTAAACCTAATTTTGAGGTGGCCCAGTTTTAAAACATTTTTCCCTGGGAACATTTGTAGAAAATGACTAGAGGTGATTGTTTCGTTTCTTGGTTGGCTGGGCACTGGATAACGGCTGGGGCAAAACCAGGTTAATCAGAAAGTTTAAAAGGAAAATCTTGGGAATGAAATGCCCATACTGACCTTGAAAAGTTCCAAAATATGCCTGAGAATCTACTGCTACTGCTCACGTGAAGGGCTTGTGCAGGCTCAGGGAAGATATGAGAAGGTCTTTCTTACTTGAGGTTGATCTCGAGATGCTATACTAACAGGATGTGAGAGCTAAAGTGAAATTGTCACCTGCTGGACAAAGTGTTGCTTTCTCTCTTGATAGAAATATAAATCCAGTTCTCCTGCCCTTATGTCTCTCCTAGGTATTCCTGACAACTTAAAATGACTCTCCTAGGATTTGGGTCTTGAGTAAAGCCAGATTAAAAGGTAGAGCCCATTTATCCCATTAGAAACATCACGCCAGCTATTTGAGTAGTTTGGAGTTGTCCTGTTCTTGCCTTGTTTTCTGGTTTTCTTCTTTTTAAAATTAAATTTATTTTCTTACCTTGTTGTTCATTTTTGGACAATATTTGATTTCTCCCCAGAGGTATAGGCCCCGTACTTCTCCCACCACATAGCACCCAGTTAACCTTGTCTTCTTCCCTCCTCTGTGGTGACCCCCTTCTTCCCCTACTGAATGTCAACATGCACATTTTGTGGGTTTTTTGTTTTTACAAGAAACAACCAACATCATTTCTATAGCTTCTGTTTTCAGCTGATTGGCCAGAGTTGGCTTCATGGCCTGCAGTCAAAGATAACCTGGCCTGATAAACCTTTGGCCAGAGACTTAAATCTATCTTAGTTTTAGTTTTTGCATTTCTAAAGTCACAAAAATCATGACTGGGTAAGATGTGGATGAAAGGAGACAACAGAGTCTAGAGTTTGCCACACATGTGCAGTAAGTGATTGTCAGCAACATGATCAGTGAATGCTTTTCACTCTAGAAACATGGGTTCACACAAAAAAGTGTCTACAAGTTTCTAGGGTAGCGTTATTCACAATATCCCAAAGTGCACGCAACCCAAATATCCATCAACTGGTGAATGGATTGGAAACATGGTGTTTCCATTCAGGGTGCTGTCATGCAGCCATGAAAAGGAATGGAGCACAAATACATGCTACTGCACGCATGAACACTGAGCAAATTAAGTTGAATGAGAGAAATTAAATAGAAGGTGCCACATTTTATATGATTCCATTTATATTCAATGTCCAGAATAAAAATTTCCATAGAGACAAAAAGTAGATTAGTGGTTGCTAAGGGCTGGGGGTGGGCGATGGGGATTGATTGCTCATGGGTAAAGGGTATTTAGTTGGGGGAGGGTGATGAAAATGTTCTTAAATTAGTAGTGATGTAGTCGTGCTGGTGGCACAACCTTGTGAATAAAGCTGACCGAATTCTACACTTCAGATAATACATTTTATGGTATATTAATTATATCTCAACTTAAAAAAATTGTAAAGCCTCTGAAAGTAGTACTGGCCATTAACATCACCTTTAACATTTTCTTGGGTCACTTTAGGATTAAGGACTGAGAAGAATGACCTTGGCAACTAGGAATAAGGGGTGTGGGGCACACAACTCAAAATGACACGCTCATCCCCAGCCAGAAAACCCCACACAGTCTGAAGCAGGAAGGTCTTTCCAGGCGCTACAAAATTGTGTCCACAGTTATTTTCCTGGCAAACCATTTTCTTTAACAATATCCTTAATCTGCACACATACCACAAAGTTGAAATCAGTATAACTCCAGAATAAAGGCGGCAGGAGATATCCTACCTTTAATATTGTTTTGTTGTTCCAGCAATAATTTACTTAGTGTTGAAAACCAACAATCTCTGATTTCTTTCGAAGCTGCCTGGAATTACAAATAAGAAAGCACTATGATTTTCAGATCCCTTGGAGAATAAATTGCATAAGACTTTAATTCTCTGGGTGACCTTTCAGAAAATGAGATAGAAAACACTTGTTAAGCCAGGGGAACACAGCAGAGAAAGAGTGGAGGATACCTGTGGAGAAGGCTTGAACTTTACCTGAAGGATGTATTTCTCAAGTCCATTATGGTTGGCAATTTCAAACTTTTTGCTGCTCCCCCTTCCAAGTTGGTGAATTGAAAGTGTCATCAACTATTGTTAAAAAAATAAAAAGAAGAAAATTTTCAATACTCTTATTTCATTTTGAGAATTACCCACCAGACCCTCTAATCCTTTGCCCCTTGATAGCTGTCTTCTCCCATCCTGATTCCGTGTTTGCTGTTCTCTGGTAATGGTCCCAAGGAAGACAACTTCATCTGTGTTGATTGTTTCAGAGGACAACACAGACTATATCTTTCCAAATTTACAACTGTAGTTTCAGGTTTTAAGCAAAGAGATCATCTATCATTTAACACTTAAGTACTTCATAAATCTCTGCATAACAATAACTGAGCCAGTGTCCATTAAGAAACATACATAACAAATGCCACTATGAATAAATTAACAACTTGAAGTCACATGAGCACATGTGTGTGTGACAGACATCCCTAGGTGCAAAAGTTTCCTGTAAGGTCAGAGACAATGCTTAGGATGGGCACAGGCTCCTGACACTCTACTTCCCCCTGGGGAAGCTGCCTCCATTTGTATGCAGAGATGCTTGGCTGGTAGAACATGAAATCCAATCCACACTCTAATCACCAAGTCTTTCATTCCTCCGCCTGGAGGAAAGAGGATACTTTTCCTAATTAGTTTGCCCAGAGTCTGCTATAAGGTCCTATTCTTTACCTACCATGAAGGCACCTCCCAACCAGCCCCGACTGTCTCATGAGGTGTTGTAATCCCTGACCCTGGCATCAGACAAGCTTGGGTATAGATTCTAGCTCTGTTGTGTGGCATTTGGCAAGTTAATCACCTCTCTAAGCTTCAATTTCCTCATCTGTAAAGAGAGCAAGATCTCTGGCCATAGGGCTGTGCTGATCCCCAGGGACAACAGGACCCCTTTACCTTCAAGGACTTCTTAAAACTGTGATGAGGAATAAAGCCCTGGTCACTGGTCTCCGTTCGTATCTTACAGAACACTATTTCTCTCTCAAATAGGTAGATCTGCCTCTGACTGGGCTTAAATCGAATAAAATCCTTCATCTTATAACGATCCTTGTTAACTGTCCAGATGTTGAAAGAGTCACACAGCAACAGCTTGCCCAGCCCGCTGATGTCATCCTTTTGGAAACACAGATGCACACAAAGAGATGTCGTTGAATTTCTTGGCAGGGAAAGAACACTTAGGGGCCTATTCTCAAATTATAAAGCAGATTTATTTGAGGTTTACAATCTTAAAAGTGCCACTCAAGTTAATCTGACACTAAATCAAAGCCATAATTTTGGGACCTTCACTGAACAAGGCACCATTCAGTCATGTAAGCAAATAGTTTGATGTATAAGGTAATAAACACATGCTAGAAATACTGGGGCTAAAGATACTGGTACATGAATATTTTTGTTTTGTAGTTCCTTTTAGCTAACAGAATTCCATTTCCTCTTCTTTTTGTTGGATACATGGAAATCTTCTTAAAAGGGAAAAGAAGTTAAGTTTTTTACTATGTTCAGGAGAGGACAAATTTTTGCAGCATTATGAGCCCATGATGGTCCAGGTGCCCCATGTGCATTCTAACACCTGCTTCAGATCTGTCTGAACCTGAGAACCGAGATCTGTTCTAAAGGGAGAAGGCTTAGGGTAAACGTTGTAATGGAGAAGGTGATTACATTCAACTCTGTTTTTTTTTTTTTTTCCAGAGTGTGTGGACAGTGCAAAAACAAAGCCAAGAGACAGGTTTTTGGGTAAAGTTATTTGGCTCTAAGGGAACATACTTTGATGCCTTCCCCATCAACCAACAAGCCCACCTTTCTCATACGTCAGGTTGAAGTCCAAATGAGGTGACTCCACTTTCTCTGGACACTCTCCAAAGACTAGTGGAGAGGGGTGAGCCCCTGATCCCAATAGCCCCATGTAATAAAGATTACAGAGAGCAAGCCCCAATCCCTGTCTGAACTGGAGAACTGAGGGGTAGGAAGTAAGCAGCAGAACTCGTCAGTGTGAGATGCTTGTCATTCACATGGTGCAATGAAAGGCAAGGAAGTGAAGCAATGAAGAAGGTGAGTCACTAAAAATTATGTGAAAGAGGAAAAGACACTGATGGGACAGAATACACGGGGGCAGAGGGGAGAGGATAGTAAATATTTAAATATACCCAGGACACAGGTAAGACCCCAGTTTCTCCTGGCATAAGACACTAGACCTACTGTGAATTCTGGAATAGTCCATGACCTGCCTCTGCCATGGTTTGGATTCATCCCAAGGATTTCTGGTCAGTTTTTTCCAGTAATCCTGTCATTATCAGGGGTCATGAAAGGGAATCACTGGGTGTTCAGACCCACAAAAACACATGGGCTGCATGTGTTTTAGCTTGTCTTACATAAACTTTCTCAGGCCCATGCTGGTGATGGGATTGGATATCTAGATGCTCAATGCCCAGGGGTTGAGGGGGCCAGTGCTGTATGATGCTAATGCAGGGCAGGTGCATACACATGACCCTCAGCCAGGAGGCACGCTTGCATGGAGGCCACCTCACCTCCAAAGGGAAGCTAGCAGTGGGCTTCCTCTGAGCAGAACCAAGGGTGTGTTGCTCATATATGTCCATTCTTTCCAATCAGTCTGTAGTCTGTCTTAAGTCAGAGACCACATGCACAACCTCTTGTAGATACTTGTTCCTTGGAAAGTATTTATTCATTTATTGGCATTTAATGAGTAGTGTGTAAGTATGTGTGTGTGTGTGTGTGTGTGTGTGTGTGTGTGTGTGATCTAATTCAGTGATGCCCCATGTACTGGGTTGAAGAGTGTCTTCCAAAAAACTCATGTCCATCTAGAACCTCAGAATGTGACCTTATTTGGAAATACAGTCTTTGCAAATAGAGTTAATGAGATCAAATTGGATTAAGGTGAGCCTAACCCAGAAACTGGCGTCTTTATAAGAAAACTGAAACACACACAGAGAGAAAACAGTCATGTGAGGACAAGTGAAACTGGAGTGACATAACTTTAAGTCAATGAATGACAGCCATTGCCAACAACCACAGAAGAAAAGCAAGAAAGAATTCTTTCCTAGAACTTCCAGAGGGAGCATTGGCCCACCAACACCTTGATTTTGGTTCTTAGCCCCTGGACCTTGAAAGAAGAAAAGCCATATAATTTGTGGTGTTTTGTTATGGAGCTCTAGAAAATGAATATATCCTCAATCAGTTTTTTCCACCAGTGATATAATAGTGTGGGCATTACTTTGCTATGTTGAAGAATCTGGTGAATATGAGTCCAGAGATACAACAAAGGGGCTACCCCCAAACAAATAAGCAGGTGAAAAGTCAGACAGTCTTATCTATGTAGGGAATGATGGGAAATATGCTAGTAAATGCTACCTTTTTTAGGTGTGCACATTTTGTAGGTAAGAGCTCTGATATAAGAATTTCAAATGTGACTACATTGGCAAATGGAGAATCTGGCTGATAGAAAAGAGAGGAGCTAGTCTCCAGAAAGAGACTTCTTTAGGATGCTCAGATTTTCATTCCTGGCATTGACAGTTGTATACTTTTTGCACAGAGAAGTAGGAAACACCCATGTAAATGAATCAGCACAAAGCCTGGTCCAGAAATAAAAAGCAGAAGATGTAGGATAGAGGTACCGATAATTACAACTACCACAAGTAAAGTTCTTCCTTCTTTTCCAACCAGACTAAATACCAAATAAGTCAAAGGTAGAACTTTTGTGCATCATGTACAATATACCAGGCATATTGCTAGTGCCATAATTATGATTTAATCTCCATTTTTTCCTTATTTAATTCCTTCATTATTCCACAACCATCCTTTGATATAGATGTCCTGAGGGTGGGGAAATGCACAGGGAAATTCCCTTGTGTCATTAAGATTATTTACTCAGCCTTTTATCTGTAGCTTATACTATGATAAGAAAAATGAGAACTTAAACAGGAAATAAATGTCTGGCACTAGCCCATAATAAATTTGCAATAAAATAATACCTCTATTGAACTACATAAATTTGTTACAGAAAATAAAAATGTTTCATTCCACTTTCACTATTCAACTTTGGAACTTGTTCCTGGCAAGTCAGGATTTAAAAGGACACTAAACATACCACTATTTTATGCATTGGATTGAATAGAGGGGAAACTCTGTGTGTGTGTGCAAAATGGAAGGCAGTAAATTATATATCAGTGTCCCACAAAACAAACTTTGTTGAAAAAAATTTTTATGAATTATGGCAGAGAATGCTGGTGGTGGGGGTGATGTGATAACATACATCTGAAGAAGTGGGATTCTGTATCTCTAAATCATACAGTTTTGGAAACCACTGTATTTTTAGTGCAATAAAAATAGATAGATGTATTGTTCAAGCTTCCATGATTAAATTAAACTAAGAACTAATTGGGTGCATGCAACAGAGGAAAAAATGTAGATGCCAGAAAGGAATTTTTTTCTAGGTGTTTTAGTTATTAATTCATCCACTCAAGTACACTTTGGCCCCTGAGTTCCTGGTTTTTCCAGAGTGAATCAGTCTCAATTTCAGGATCCCAAGATTCCTGAAAATGTGTAGGGGTTCCTTGGAATCTCGTAGCATTGGTTTGTTTGCTCACTGACTTAAGTTACTTTCCCCAGAGTCAAATTCCTTTAGCCTAGATCAATTCTTCAACTTTGCCTTTTGTGTGAATGTTCTAAGATTTGCTGTGGGACATACCGGACATCCACTGACTGCTGCCAGGTCCACAGCCAACTCACAGGACTTGATCAAATCCTCCACCATAGCCAGAGCTTGCTGGAGTTCAGCTGAGAATGCCAAATCCTTGGTCCTCTTTGGCCCATTCTGTAGAAACCAAATGTCTTGTTGAATATTAAAAGGTAAACCATCTACTAAGTGAAGAAAGCAAAAAGGTCAGAGATAAGGAGCCAGGGATCAGGAGCCAGCAGGAAGTGTCTGAAAAAGTGGGTACATTGATCTGTTTCCCTGTCCCCAAAGAGTGGTGGCTAAAGATATTTGCTGGTTTAAATATATGTTATATATACAAAAGCAAAATCATCCACCACACCTTCTGTACATTGTATTAAAGAAAAATGAGGTTCATAAAATCATGGCAATGATATTCCTGCTGTACAGGAATACTGAGCATACTGAGCTTTTCTACAGCATGAAAAACTGGCCCCTTCACCTAGGCTGCTCTCTGTGTTACATCTTTACCACCAGGATCTATTGAAAAGCACAGTCTGGACTACGGGTGCTTTGGTGGTGGGTGCTCTTCCTGAAGGGGGAGGAACTATACTTCCTATACTAACAATATAAACCAACGACACGTCCATAAAAAAAGGTTTTTAAAAGTCGAATATAAGCATCGTGTCTCTATATTCAATGTGAAAGTCTTATTCTTGTGGGTAAAATTCTAACACCATTCCAAGAGGAGGATATTTGTAAAAAATATTAACGGAGCAAGGAATGGGCTGTCCACAGAGGATTACTAATGATTTGCATGTTTCATTTGCCTCTAACTCTTCCCCAACTCTGCCCTTCTGCCCTTCCCCGCCCTCCCACCCCCCACATTCTATTACTATGAAGGAGGTAAGTCAATGTGGCCTGCACCTCCCAAACACAAAGACTCAGCATTAAGTGGAAAAGCAGAAACTGGCTAATTCAAGAGACCAACATTTTAATTATCACCACTGTGTGGGGATGATTGTTTCTGCTTGAAAGGTTTTTGCTAGGGTGTTGGTATCTTATTCCCCTGCTATCTATATAACATATTTATGTGTTATCTGGTAAATGCAAACAAAAGTTTTTTGATTCCTTCTAATTTTATTTTAACACAGCAATCTCTACAACAAAGGACAGATAGGTCTTTACTAACTCCCATGATAACTCCAACTATTTTTGTCTTCCATAACATGATGTAAGCAAAGGGATATATATATATATATATATATATATATATATATATATTTAAAGATCTACACCAAAGCAGTGAAGATTAGCACCTTTGGATCAGAGATATGAGTGACAGTGTTGATGAATGGAGCAGCTCAGGCTGCCTCCAGTGAACAGTTAATCATGCATTTTTACCTTCTTACTCATAATAAATATCTTCAGTTCCTGATGAAAAAAATAACTCTCTCCTGAATTTATATCTTTGTAAATTCAGGCATCTTATACTTTACACTTAACATATAAAAACTCAGCTTTCTGTTAGGAGACTCAACTTCTCCTACTTCCTCTTCTTCCTATCAGCCTTCGTCCCCCAAATACATCAGATGTCTAGTTTCACATTGAATGATGTGAGTGGGCTCAGAAAAATCCTCATATGCACCTTCAAATCCCTCTAACAGGCTAGCTCCCCTTGCTATAAAATTATTACCTGTGCCTTGAGCTGCTTCTAATTTCAATGGGCAGGAGGGCATGCAAATGATTACTTCTTGAGACTCATGTCTCAAGTTTCTCTAGTAAAAAATAAAGTTCCATAGGAAACTTAAAAGAAATCCCACTGCTAAGCAACAAATTTCTTCCTAATCTGATGTAGTCATGATATCCTCCAAGGAAATTCTTTCACAAGTTTCTCTCTCTCTCTCTCTCTCTCTCTCTCTCTCTCTCATACACACACACACACACACACACGGATGGGAACTGGGCATAATGCATACACATTAGCAATAATAAGAAGTACAAAGAAGTAAACATAAACATTTGTAATTCTACCATGCAGGAAAACCACAGTAGAGATTTTATCATATTTACTTCAGTCTTTTAAATGTTTGAATTATACACAGTCACTTATCTTTGTAGTCTTGTTAAAACATTTTTATGTGGAAGAAAATACATCACCAATAGTCCTGCTACAAATACCATCTTCAAAATTGTCTTTTAATTCTTTAGTCCTTTTATCTGACTAAGAATTATAGGATACTTACTATTTTGCAAAATTTAGACAATAAAGATCATAAAGAAGGAGAACAAAATCATGATGAATTCTCTCACCCATAGACAAACACCATTAATAGTTACATAAAGCATTTCATATTCAGTACCTTAATTGAACCTCCTTCAAGGTTGCCTGGAACTATCTCTAAATCCTCCGGAGACTCAAAATCCAGGAGACCCTGCATTAACCCAAAAGCATTATTGAAGATAAAAAAGTAGAATGGCAACAAATCTACCATGTAAACAATCTCCAGCCAGTGCTAAACTAACATGATGTGTATGTAAGTTGCCTGTCACAGAGGGAAAGAATGAATGATATATTCAGCAGAGAGTTCTTTCCACTAACAAAATCATATTAGACACACTACTATAGGCTGTTTTTCCTCACCCAACAGCAAACATATCATGAACATTGTCCCATGACATGACATTATTTTAAAATAAGGTTTTTAATTGTGGCAGTGTTACATACTATGGGTAAATCATAATTGAGTAATACTCTCTCCTGTTAAACATTTAGGGTCAACAATTTTATATAATAATCATCATCTTTGTGATTTTCCTAAGGATAAACTCCTAGAAGGGGAATTGCCAGTGTTTGGAGTTTTCATGCAGATTCCCAAGCTCTTTCGTGAAGGTATGTATTCCCACCAGTCATGCATGAAAATTCATTTCACTAGCCCCTAGCCTGCATAGGCATTATCTTTTAACCAAAAATTGCCAATTGCATCAACAGAGCAATCCTACCTCACTGTTGTTTTAATTTGAAGTTTTCAATTAAGGATTGAAAGAAAACTCCAAAAAATATTTTCTATAAACATTTATTCTTTTGTAAATGATCTAATGCTTCGTCAGTCATTTCATTATTAATTTCAGCTTTCTTGAGGTGTAACTGCCATAAAATTGTTACCTATTTAAAGTATACATCGTTGTAATTTGATATATTTATTATACATATCTGATATATATACACACACACACATATATATACACACACACACACTATAAAATTATTTATAAAATTATTTATAAAATTATAAAATTATTACCTGTGAGAGGATTACCCCCTCTAGTTAACACATTCACCACCTCATATATATATATATGTGTATACATATACATATATATATATATCTTTGCTTTTTTAAGAATGCCTGAGTTCTATCCTCTTAGTAGATTTTAATGCTCTGACGCACTGTGATCTGCTATAGTCTCTGTGTTTTGCTCTAGATCCTCAAAGCTTATTCATCTTACAGCTGAAAGTTTGTACACTTGACCAATCTTTTCTTATTCATTCTTTAAAAAAAGCAGTAGTTTATTTAATCTTTTAAGAAGAAAGATAAATATATTTTTCTATGACATGAGCTGGATTACACGTGGAAAGCAGCATGACCACATATTCTAGAACATTCTTCTTGCAAGCAACATTTACAGTAAACAAATAATATACCATTTTAAAAATAATGCACAAGCCAATCTTAATCAAACTGTAGACAATAAAAATCCTTGCATTAAATTTGCTTTTTCTTTTTCTTTTTTATATCATTGTTCATTTTTAAAAAATATTTGCTTCCCCCCACCCCCTCAGGTGTAGCCCCCCTAGGGTTTCCTTCCCCAATGCACCCGTGCACCATCACCTCAGTCCCCTGTGCTCCCCTCTCCCTCCCTCCGATCCCTCTCCCTCTTCATCCTCTGCAGGATGTCTCTGATTTATAATTGTCTGTTTTTGCTTTGTTGTGTTTTGTACTGTTATTATTATTTTACACTGATGTCTTATTTGGTTCCCCTATATTTCTGCTATCAGTGAAACCATCCGATATTTTTCTTTTTCCTTCTGGCTTATTTCACTGAGCATAATTCCTTCTAGTTCCATCCACATTGCTGCAAATGGCATGAGTTTATCTTTTGTTTCCATAAATCACTGATGGTATTTGCCAGAAATCACGACCTCACTGAAAGTGAACTCCTATTGTCCTCAAATGCATCCATCTCTAATATAGGCTGAATTAATAATATATTAATATTGTGTAATCAACTTACTTTGACTCATAAGGCATTATGTACTCAAAAAACTCTTTGTGAGTACATAATGTTAATTTAATTTCATAATATCTGTTAATTTCATAATATCTCAAATAAGATATTAAACATTTCCTAGATACCATCTCTTTCTGTGATTAATTTCCATGAATTCATTATTAAGCTTGCTGACTATTTGCCACGTATCTTGTTAATATATTTTCCCCAGTTTTTCATGCACCTTTATTTTTAATGGTATAATCTATTATTCTTTTCTTTTTTACTTAGAAATGCTTTCCCACAACAGGAACCCAAGATCCTGTCTAAAGTATGGGGTAACATCCTCAGGGGTCTTGGTTCCCATTAATCCAACATCCATGCTCTTTCGAAGAAGTTGATGACAGGAACTGTGGAGTGAGCTCTGGTCATCAGGCAGGAGAACCCTACAGACGTCTTCCTTTCTTTCCAGGTGTGCCAATGGTTTAAACTTGTTCTGGCCACAAAGTAAGCACACCTATGGGAAAACTGGTCTGCCTTGAGTAGCCTCCATGGTTTTGCACAGACTCCCAAGGAATATTTTACAGTGATTGTTTTCTCAGAGAAATGAAGCTAACAAAAATCTTCTAAGGCTTTTTAAAATATGTATTACCTCATTGAATGCTCCCCGAAAGCATTCCAAGAAAGTACTACTACTTCACAGATGAGGAACCTGAAGCAGAGAGAGGGTAAGTGACTTGGCCTAATTTCACACAGCCTGGAAGCATTGGCATCCGGATCCACAGGTCCACTCCAGGGACATCGAGCTCACAAGTCTGGTTTCTAATGACCATGTCTTAAAGTGCTTGCTTTATGTTCAGAATGTGGTACAGAACTTAGTTGTCCACCTTTGTTCTCTGGGAAAACTTAAACCATTCAGTACATGGGGCAGCCTGGGGGAAACAAGACCACCACTTGGGTCCTGCTTGCTCCTCACTGCGTGGAGGGGTTGGACTTCCAAAGCACAGATGACAGTACAGAAGTGATGGTCAGAGGAATATGAGGCCCTAGGCAAGCTTGGTATCAGAAGATGCTCACAGAAACACTCAGAAAGAGCAGTATGTCATTATCCTCATTCAAACATTGGTGTGATATCTCTGTGTAGAGAACACAGCTGTACGTTTCGGGAAGCTTCCCTCAGGTCAACACCGAGGGAGATTGTTACGCATGTGCACTACTCACTCACCCCTCACAGCACTGTGACAGAGCAGGCTCAAGAGTCTTCCTTTTATGTTTGAGAAAGCCAAGGTCTAGGAGGTCCAGCAATCACACAACTGGTGCGGCAGCTGGCCCAGCGGAGACTATTACTGCTAGAGTGAAACTGAAAGGGGTAACTTCCTGAGGGCATGAGCTTAGCCTCCTGAGTTCACTCAGTTTCCTCACACTCCAAAGCCTTCCTGGTATATCAGACTGAGGAGATCAAAGAAACACATATGGGAAGGTACCCAGTCAACAGCAGGGACTTGTTTTCCATTTATTCTGCTTTTAGTAGCTAGAGCTACTCATAAAGGCTAATTCAAAATACAACTCAGAGTAGACCAAACCTTTCTCTCAGCTCACATGTAGGAAACATCAAATTCTGTTGTGGCTATGCTGTCAAACAGAGAAAACCACTTAAGGGTTCCACAGAAAAACATTCATTCTGTTATGCTGCTCTGGAAAAAGGCCTTAGATCTAATCATGGAGGTAGTTGTTGCAAAAGAATAAAAGACTCCAGTTTTGCCTTCTCCCTTCCATTTTTTCAGTGCACATAAAATAACGACTTCGGGATAAATCTTTTCTGAAGTTCTTGCCTCATCTATAAATTGGAGCAGATGAGATCGTATCTGTCTTACACGAGAGCAGAGGCTCTGGCTGCCTTCCCACCAGCTCAGCTGCCAGCAGTGTGGCTGCCTCCTTCTTTCCCACTTTGCTCCCAAGGGCCCCTCTCTCCTCCCCTAAGCCAAGCTCCTGAGAGATTGATATCCTGGGTTGCACGTTCAACTAGCCAGACTTGAAGGTCCCTTTCAATTCTATCATTCTCTGCTCTCTTTCTCACTGAAGAGTGCTGATTTAGACTGGCAGGACAGAAAATTCCTGAAGGATGGACATATTTTTACATTTGGAAGATGAAGTCTTAACTCTACAAGTCGAAAGAAAAAAGCAACTTAGCACAGTGTCTGTTTCCAAACAAAATACCCTCTCGTTGACCTTACCTTCAACAGCGACTGGTATTTTATAAGCCTCTGGCTTGGTCCTCTAAGATACTTAAAAAGGGGAGAATTGTGATCCAATTGGCGCTGGCACACCTTTAAAGGCCAAACAGAAACAACATAAAGCAAAACCAACAACACACACAGAGAACGAAAGTCGGGGAATTTAAATACAAGAGATGAAACGGGCTCTCCATGGACATGGGGTTGACTGCTTTTTATTCTTCAGGAACAGTGTGCAAAATTAGAGAAAAGGGGCAGGGTGGCTTGGCTGGTATTTAACAGTGGTCGGGGAATCAGGACCATTCATTTATTTTAGAAAGCAAGTCCACTAGAGGACAAGGGGCATTTCAAAAACTTCTGAAAAGGAGGCAGCCCTGACTTTGAGTTGGAGGCTGGGGTCTATTCAGGTCATTTTGAGTCTGGAGGTAGATGCTAGCTTATTGATAACATTCCAGGGAAACCCAGTGAGGGGCCTTTTTGACTTTGTTCTACTTTTTCAACACCATCCTAGCGAGGATTCTGGTTTTCACACCAGCCTTTAGCTGTTCCTCACAGGCCTGTCCCATAGACACATAGTTTTGAAACTTCCAATGTGTGCTTTCAAGATGGGGGATAATGTTAATAAACCCCAATGTCACATTCCTCTGCCTCGTTCATATTTTTGATTTCTTTAAAAATGTGGTGTGCATAAACATTGTCCAGGGAAAACAATTTGTGGGAGATTCTGTGAACTCAATGTTACCCCAAAATAGGCGCAGTCTTGACATTCTTGCCAGATTGCCCTGGCTCGGGGCAGATTCTTATGGTATTTAAAATATATTTGAAGATCTTCTTTCTGAGTGAGAAAAAATTAGAACAAATTAATCAGGTGGTATTTTTCAGTAGTGGACAGGATTATAGTTTATTCATTCATTCAACAATTCGGAATATTTCCAATGTGTAAGGAACTGGGGATGCATGATGGGTGGGGTGAGTGTGTGATGGGGAAGTAGAGAGCATGTTATAAATGATTATGAGTGATCAGTACTAAACACAGACATGAATGGAATGTGGTGGGAGCTGTTCTAGGACTCTGGTAAGTACATAAGTGAATTCATGGACAGCAGTAGGTTTCTATTTTTACTCTTCCTACTCTTTATCCATGCAACAATATCATCCCAAAATTGTTCTGCCCTCTCCTTATTACAATTGTCATGGTGACAATTCTAGGGGGAAAAAAATTTTAAGAAACAACCAAAAGATAATCACACCCCAGAGGAAAAATGTGGTAGTCTGGACAAAATAATACAGAGTTAAGTCTTTCGGGCAAAGCAGCAAGCTCTGCTCAGTCCTCATCTTCAACCTGCCACACAAGACTCAGACAAAAACATTCTATCACTGTCTCAAAACTAGTGCTGTGTGATGCATAGTCTCATAGCACCACAGACCTTAAGAGGTGGACACACACCTCTACTGACATCCCAATTAGAAAGGGTACCCCAAGGTAGTGGAGTCAGCTTGGCAGCTTCCTGAGGAAAGCCTGATCCACTGCTGCTGGACTCAGCACAGAGCCCAGGCTGCTCTGGTGGGGAGGTCTTGGGCACCTTCTTTGTGGAATTCAATCCTCCTGCTCAGCTCAATTCTTAATGTTGCTTACGTGGACTTGGATGACATCAACTATGTCACTGCTATAGTGAAAGATGTCCAGTCCTGTAGTGCTTGCCTTCTTCTGATGGATGATAAGTGGTCATTTCACTACAAGAACTACAGCAATTCTGTACTTTGCTACTGTCTCCAGGAAAAATTACACACACACGTACACACACACATGCACACCACACACACAAACACACTTAAGAAGAAAGATGGGCCTTGAGAAATGTTGTCAGACTGGTTAAGGACTCGGATAATAACTCAGAGCTTAACAATAATAAATCTATTATTCATTCATTCACTGAAGAACAAACTTTTGAGCACCTTTGATGCTTTAGGCACTGTGCTAGTCCATTTATTAAACTCAGTGACTCCATAGGATAGCAGCTTACATATGGGGACACTGCTGGATACTGGAGGCCAGGCTTGAAAAACAAATTGATTAAGGCATCTCACCCACATTTGATCTGTTTGTGCATGAAGCAATCAGTCTTTAGCTGCTAAAAGAATTCAAGTTTTCACTGTTTTCATACTCACCCACCCAAGGAATCTCAGTAGCTGGAAAAGCCCACCACCCAGTAGAATATCCTCAACAGTGAGTCATCTTTCCCCCAATTCTCCCAGTAACAGAGAGGGACCTGGCTCCTTTGGTGGATGCTGAGCTGAAACCTGCATTCTTGAAAGCTTCACCCCTTGCTCCTGTGTCTACACTCTGAGCAGCACAGAACATTTCAGCCTTCAAATACTAAATTTGTTCTTTAGTCCAAAATTCCTTAGAGTAAGGATGCTCACTAACTAGCAGCATATGAAAGTGCCAGATGCCCCCTATTTCCTTATAGGATAATTAGGAGGCTAAAAAGTTGCTGCCCAAAACTTAAATTCACACAGGAAGACAGGACTGCTATTAGATTAGGACTGTGAGTGCCAGTGGTAGATGGTCCAAGTTCAGCTCTTGGTTTGTTAGTTTCAAACAGTATGGCCTGAGGTCAATTACTTAACCTTCCCATACTTCAGTTCCCTCATCTGTTAAGTGGGTTTAGAGCAATAGTCAATTCCTATGATAATCGAGAGATTAAATGAGATGATGTATAGATACTTTTCATCAAATGCCCACTACATGCAGAGTACCCAACAAATCGCAGCTATTGTTAAGCAATTTTTAACTTGTCAAATCCTTCTGCATGCATTATTTTGATTTCCACAACACCTTTACTTATTGGTTTTAAGCTTAATATTTGGAGGAGGAAAATGAGACTCCAAGAATTTAAGTGACTTACTTGAGGTCATACAGCTAACAAGTAGATTGACTTAGATAAGAAGTTACGTGCCCTAAGTTGATCCAATGGTTCTTCCCATTGCTCCATGTGAAATCTCAGAGCAAATTGAACTCAGAGTAAACTACTGACAAATGTTACACTTGATCCAAGCTTGATCTCTGGGGCAGCCTTTCCCCAGATGCAACAAGCTATAGATTCTAAATGAAAACACTTGGCCAGAGCAATTTTTCAAAATTTAATTTCATGATTAGTGGAATTCTGCAAATATTAAGAAAAGGTAAACTGCTGTATAAACAAAGGGTGCTGGGCCTGCTTTATTAATGAACAAGTTCAAGTCTTTCTATAGTGGCAGCCAGTTTCTTCAAGGATTCTTAAACAACTGTCATTTTTATTACTTTATTTGACTCAAAGTAAAAGCTTTGTGCTTGATAAGTTATTACTTGTATTTTGCCTCCAACATCATAAATCATATAGAATTATATGCAGGGTTTGTCAATGATCTTTAAGGTTCTTCACAATGTGGGATACCATCAAAACCTTCATAAAACCTTAGAAGAACTCTTCTGAGAAAGAATGCTTTGTCAGGAATTCTCTGACCATTTCATCATATTTGGACAATTTTTAATTGATAATATTCATCTTTCCCCATGGGAATTAGGTCTTCTTCTCATTCAACAATTTTAAAATGCCTGCAATAATGACACAAGTGATAATAAAATATTTCTATACTCTGAAATTAGATTTCACATTGGTGGTTTGATAAGTATTAAAATGCCAAGTAGTATAAAACACTATATTATAATATTATGGGCTCTGGTGGTTATATATCATAACAACCTATATTACATTAGTATATTGTACTGAGATCGTTACTCACACAGCATATTATAATTAATAATGCTATTATGGTCACACAAGAAGGAAATTAATCAGATTAAATATAACATAGTTTGTGGTATATTTTGAATTTCAGCACTTGATGAAGAACCTATGATGAGGCTGATGGAAAGCCCATAGGGAGTCATGGAAGGGACCTTCTAAACCAGTCATAACGATGAGGGCTGCAGGCTGCTTCTCCGCTGTGTCAAGTACCTTGAATCCTGGCAATTTTTGCTTGTTTTCAGTTTATCACAAGTTTTGCACTTAGACTTATCAGTCATATTTGGGTTGCTTAGATTTTTTTTTTTAAGTTGTTTGATCTGATGTCTCAGACTCACAAAAGGCAAAACAAGGAAGAGAATGAAAAGAAGGGCTAGTGGGATAGAAGAAATGCAAAACACTTTGAAAGGAGAGGGCACCAGGATCATCTGCCTAGTCCTCCTAAAGGGAAGAAAGCATGGTGGGGCGTGATATCAGATAAAGTACTTCTCTGTGCCAGCAACTGGGAAACACCACTGGCCCAAACACTCATTTATTGCCCAAAGTACAAAAGGAGAGCCTGAAAGAAGGAAGGAATATCTGTATGGTAGGAAGAGGGGTTAGTCAGAGGCTTGGTGTTGAGGCAACTTTACAGCTTGCATACTAAACAGTAGAGAAGGTAGAGATTTAGAATATACTACCCCCTCACCCCATGCTGTAAAAAACAAAATGAAAGAAAATACATTTTTTTGAGATTTTTAATTTAACATCAAAACTTCTCCTCTGGAGAGTGGTAATACAAGTTTAGTGAAGAATTTCGACCTGTTGTGTGATTCTTCTTCCAAAACATTTAGCTTCCTCATTCAAAGGTGCATCAACTACTTTGAGGGACACAGGAAGCCAGTGTTCCATTTTTTCAGGCTTTGCAAGTAGCTTGTAAGTTGCTCCCACCTATGGGTTCACTTGATTCATCTCACACCAGGTGAATTACTACAAAGGACTGCTGTGTTGCACTCAAGAGGTAGATATAAATGTTCAGATTATGGGTGTTTCTATGTGCCCTTGCCACTTACACAGAAAATTATGAGCTGACTTTAATTACATGGTTATTTCAATTTATTAGGAGCACAGACTTACTCTCTTGAGAAAGCAACGTGCCAGAAGTTCAGGGTTTTCAGTGCACTTTTCTAATTCTTTTAGAAAAGTCCTAGGGAAAGAAAAGATAATAACGCTTCAGGTTTTTTGTTTTTAAACATGTACAGTGTTCATTTTTTTTTAAGTCAAATCACATAAAGATTTGGGAGGAACCCAAAAAATGCTGTTCTTCAGGCTTTTCTGCTTTTGACTCATTTCTAACACACTGATTTAGATGAAAAAGTTGTGTTCTGTGACATTACTAGGATTCCCTGAAACCACCCCCAGCTGTTCTGATCATTCTGAGCACTAGCCAGAGTCCGTCCGTATGTACTTGATGCTGCCTGCTACAAGATACTCCTGTTAGTAAGAATTGCTGCTCTGGCTGCTGTTAGAACTAATATCATAAGCTAGCTAAACAATGTCTCATTTAATCCCCCATCAAACTTGCAAGATAGGGTTTCATAAATATGAAACCTGAGGCTCAAAGAGGTTGAATAACATCTACAGGGAAAGTAGCAGAAAATAGGATTTCCATTTCAGTCTGTGTCTGACCAATGGACAAGAAATGTGGTCAGGAAATATTTCACCAAGTAATCTTTTCCCTTTCATCAATCAGGTGTGTGATCTTGGGGTCATTATAGTGTAGTAAAGTGAATAAATAGACTACCGTCTCCTCTTCTGTAAAAATAAAGGGCTAGAAGATAATTTCCAAAGTCTCTTCTTCCTCGAGGTCTCCAGGACTCAAGACTCAACTAGCTCTGGGCTATAAAGCTCAGGTTGTTTGACCAGTTAGCACTTCTAACACCCTCCTTCCCGATACTACCCACCCACTGATCATAAGTCAGTGGATACGTGTTTTGATTATCTTCCTGTTCCCAGTGGTGACCGCAATCCCCATGGATATTAATAAATATTGCTCAATAAATACTGATGCATTCAGAGATGTTAAGCAAAGGAATACACAAATAATTATGTTAATGCCTGACACCTACTACATCCTCAATTAATGTCTTTTCATTTCTTTTTCAGAGATCCAGTGGTGCTTCTCCCCTCCTTCTCATCCCCATCCCAACTCAACCCAACCCACTGATTCTGGGCCACTTGCTTAAACCTGAAAATGCTTAAGCCCTTGCATCCCCAAATCCCACCAGTCTGATTTCTGTCCCTCTCCTAATTTCCATTTCCTTAGTAAATCTGAATGATTATCTACCTGTTGTGAAATTCATAAAGTTCTCTAATATTCCCAAAGAGCAAGTCCTTGTTATTCTGAAGAACATCTGGAATCAGATGCTTTAGCCAAATAAAATCCATTGGCGTGATATATCCCTGCAGAGATGGAAGCAAGGTAGGTTTTACAGGTAGGAACATATAAGACATGATCTGAATTAGTTATTCCAGGGACCAAAGCTTTAATGACATAATTGGGAAATACAGCACACATATTTCCTGGAAATTATTCCACCAAAGACTTTCTTTTGATATCAATTTTTTCACGTGTCCATCTTCAGAAGATAGTGTAATAACAATAACAGAATAGTACTTTTCAGAAGAACAAATATATTTCTAAGTGGCTATGTTATAAACGTCAAGTGTGAAAAAAGGGAAAGAACTTATCCATCATTTTATGAGTTGATGCAACTACTATGTTTATTATATTTCCTTTTTGACTTTTAAAAACCTTATTTTATAAGGTTATAACCATGTGCATATATAATTCTGTAGTCTGCTTTACATGTACCTTTTAGACTCTGCTAACAAATTTCTACATATATTATTTTAAATTACATCTTATGAGCATTTTTCAATGTTAATTATTTTAAATATTATTTAAAATAGGTATTTTGGAATAGTTGAATAATGTTTCATTCAGTTTGTATATTATACTTTATTAATATTCCCTTTTTATTAAACAGTGGTTTGCTTCTATTACTTTATTGTAGAAAATTCTAGTATAACCTTGTGCATACAGTTTTTTCCTTGATTATTCCCTTTGGAAAATAGGGAAAATAGACATTTTCACTCTTTTGCAAAAAAAAAAAATGCTTCTTAAACCATTAAGAACTCCCCCTTATTAAATTATCAAAAACTTTTAAATTATAATATCCATCATTGGCAAGCATATGATGAACCTGGTCGGAAAGTGCTCTAATCTTATGAATTGGCACAAATTTTTGGAAGACACTTGGTTACATGGGTCAGTAGTCATAGAATATTCTTACCCTTACTGGAAAGACATTTGTGATATTTACAAGACCTGAAATCTTGCTGAGAATGCTAGAGACACATGACAACTATTTTGAATCTCTTCATGTAATAAAACTTCTCAAGTTTGAATACAAATTTAACAAATCCCCCTTCAAACATACTTACATCAATTATGCTCTTAATCTCTTTTATATAAATCTCTTCAGTTTCAAGTAAGTCACATATAATGCGCCTGTATCACAGCAGCAAGTGGGAAAATGAAAAAGAGAAACATAGAGGAAGGAAGGTTTTAAGAATTCATTTAGAATAATGTTCATCAACACAGTTTCCCTTCAAAGCTCACCTACTTTGATTATAATCAGTTCATTCTGCTCTATTGAACACCCCCAGCCAAGATATCACAAAAGCATACTCTGATCACACTGGCAAGGTGAGAGGACTCAAAATCCATTTTGTGCAATCAGCAAATAATCTGACCACTGGAAGGGGTACAGTGTGTATGTGTGGGGAGGGGTCAGAAATACCAGGTCTAGATCCTTGGTCAGGAATACTGCCTGATGCCTACGTTATTCATGTGATTTCCTAGATTTCCTCTCCAGCTTGCTGCTCTTTCATTGCTCACATTAAGATCTTTGTTCCATGTGGATATATTTGTTGTGTAGGGGGTTAGATGGATGCCCCCTCTCTTTGGCATTAAATGTTTTAGTGTGATTGGCTCCTCAGCCAAAAGACAGCTTCAGAGAATGACAGAAGGGGAATTCAGGGTAATCGTGCTGGCCATGCTGATGAAATTAAAAAAAAAAAAAAACAGAGGATATAAAACCATAGAATAAAGATAATGAAAATATAAGGCAGCTACATTCAGAAATAATGGACTTAAGAAGCACTATAGCTGGTTTAATAAATACAACTGAGGGCTTAATAGACAAAGAGAAGCAGTGGAAAGAATCAGTAAATATTGGAGAACACAAGAATAGACCAAGATAAAGAAAAAAAAATAAAAAAATTGAAAACATTATAAGAGCTCTTTGGGACAGCTTAAATAGAAATAACATCTCTATTATGGGGATTCCAGAAGGAGAAGAAAAGGAAAAAGGCATAGAAAATCTACTTAAAGAAATAATCACTGAAAAAGTCTCACTCTTGAAAATGAATCAGAAGTTGTTATCCAAGAAGCCCAAAGAGTTCCAAACAAAATAGCACCAATTGACATGCACCAAGACACAATAATAAAGCTGATGAGAACCAGCAATAGGGCAGAATACTAACAACATCAAGGAAAACCGGGTAACCTATAAGGGAGCATCAATCAGATAGATTTCTCACAAAAGCATTACAAGCATGAAGGGATTGGAAAGAGATTTTAAAAGTACTTAAAAAAGATTTCCAGCTCAGAAAGACTCTACCCAGCACGTAGAAGGAAGACCTTTACGGGAAAACAAAAACTAAAAGAATTTACCAACACCAAGCCACATGTGAAAGAAATCCTAAAGCAACAGAATGATGAGTAGTAAGCAAAAGCCACCTAAATTAACATGGAGGAGAAATAGGAAAGTAAAATATGGCCCATTAGAACAAGTCAGAGATCAGACCATCCAATAGGTCACACGAATAATCCATCACGTACTAACTTCAGTAGAGTCCTCAAATAAATAACATAATAACACAAAAGAACCACAGAAATGGAACCTAAATAAAGCAACAGGGAGTCCTCAAAAAAAATTTAAAAAGACACATCAAAATCAAAACCAAAAACAAACCAAATGGCAATAATTATATCTCATTAATCACCTTAAATACAAATGACTTGAATTCACCAGTCAAAAGATGCAGAGAGGCAGAATGGATTTCAAAACACCCTGACCTTCTGCTATTTACAAGAAACTCATCTTATTAACAAAAACAAGCATAGACTTAGAATTGAAGTTTGGAGGATAGTTATACAAACAAATGGCACGGGGGGAAAAAATCAGCAACAGCTATATTTATATCTGATAAAATAGACTTTTGTTTAAAAAAGGTAAAAAGAGATAAAGGATACTATATTATGATTAAGGGCCTAATACAAGAAAAAATTATGCTTACAGATACACACACACACACACACACACACACATATATGTTATATAACCCATAACATACTAACTTCAATAGAACCCTCAAATAAATAGCAAATAAATAATTTGTGTATATACATGTATATGTGTATATATATATACACACAAATTAAAAATAGAAATACCATATGACCCAGCATCCTGCTCTTGGGCATATATCCACAGAACACGAAATCATTAAAAAATAAATAAATAGGGCCTCCCTGGTGGCGCAGTGGTTGAGCGCTGGGTTGCAAAGCTGCCCGCAGCCTCTGCAACGCTGGTTCGATCCCCGGCTGCTCCCCAGCCACTGAGGAGTGTCCCACATGGCGCGCAGACCCCTCCTGCCGCCCACTGCTCCCCTCAGCAGTGTACTTCGGTCCTTCTGCCCGCTCTGCTCCCCGCTCTGGCTCTGGTGAATTCTCTCACACCCCCTCGCGCCGCCCCCCCCTGCTTCTGACTGTACACAGTGCTTGTATAAATAAACAAACAAACAAATAAATAAATCTTTAAATAAATAAATAAAAACTAGTTCTCCAATATTTACAGCAGCATTATTTATAATAGTTGGGACACAGAAGCAGCCTAAATCTACTTCAATGGATGTGTGGATCAAAAAGATGTGGTAGATACATCCCATGGAATATTACAAAACCACAAGAAAGGTTGAAATACAGCCATTTGTTACAAAATGGAGGGAAGTGAAAACCTATGCAGCAAAACAAGTCAGAATGGCTAAAACAAATATTAGACATTCATATAACAGACAATGTGACAATGTAAAACACTTTTAGAAACTACTGGACGTCAACAAACATCCTGAGGACTCTGAGATTAAGAGCGGGGAAAGGAAAGAGACAAAGGGCCTTTCCTTTGGGTGGTGGTGGAGGAAGAAAAACAAAACAAAAATAAATTTAAAAAAGTAAAATTGTAAAAAAATAAATAAAAAATTTTAAACACCTAAAGCAGTTTATACCTGGTGGATATTTATCCAGAGGTGGGGCACTATGATTCGGATGCTCAATGGAGTTTTCAATGCAAATCAACCTGCATTACTCATTTCTACCCTAGAGTACATATTGGGTCCTTTGTTTAACATATAAAAGAGGATCTTCCCCTCAGACCCCCCAGGGCATTGAGGAGGAAATGGAAACATTATGTTATTAAAGGATGTCTCTTCTCTGAAACTATATTTCAAGGTAGAAAAAAACTGCTCTGGATACCTGGTTCCTTTCTTTTCTTTTCTTTTTTTAAAGATTTACCTATTTGTGCATGTAAGAGCTGGGGTACAGGCCAGAGTTGTGGGGGGTGAGAGGATTCACCAGAGACAGGGTGGGGAGCAGAACAGGCAGACTGACCGAAATACACTGCTGAGGGGAGCAGTGGCAAGACAGGAGAGGTCTGCTGAGCCATGTGGGTTTCTCCCTGGCCGGCAGAGACTGTGGATTGCTTCATAGTGCGGTGCTTTACCCCTTGCACCACCAGGGAGGCCCCGTACCTGGTTCCTTTCTATATGATATCTTATGTTTGTTTCAGATCATATCATAACCAAGGGGAGTGGGGAAAAAAAATACCTTTTTTTTTTTTTAAAGTGAATGCATCCGTATTTGGTATGCAAGATCATTAAAATATAGATCCATGTTAGGATTTCTTGATAAGTTTCTCCTTTGTCCCTGCATACTAACCTATTCTCTCTTTTAATCCTTATCCCTTACCCCCCAGCATCCTCTATTTCCCAGTTCTCCAACAGAAGTGTAGCCTTTTGGGAGCTAGCCTGTTGGAAGAATATTTTTGCTTGTTAAAATGAACACAATTGACCATCAATTTTTATTTACTCCCGGTATTCTATCACGTTAAATACATGTCAAAGAGTATGAAAGTATGAAAGATTTTTGCTTTTTAATAATTAGTTTTCATGCACACCTAAAGCTTATATAATGTTATAGTGCAATGTTACATCAATAAAAATACAAATATAAACTTTTGAAAACCAGGTACCTGACTTTTAATGTGTGAAAACTAAAAATTAACTCCTTAATTTTAAAAATTGTTTTCATCAAATTCCCTTTTTGTCAAATTGAAATCTCTTTTCATTCTTCTCATTCTAGAACATCTGACGTAACAGATATTTACCCTCTTAAATCTATCTCTTCCTTTGGTTTGGGTCTTCATCCACTGTCCACCTCATCTCTTTCATCTCTATTCCTTCTTTGCTTCATCTGCCTCCTCTTGTCTACTCTCACTGTCCCCAAAGGCCTTAGCCTAGGTTTCGAGGTTTCCTTTTTTCCTCTTCTCTCATGCTGTTGACTCTCCCACGTTTCCAAAAGTCTAGACATTTTCACCTGGACGCTGCCTCCCAGAGACTTCATTCATGCATATCAGTAGGGTGGCCATTTTTCTAGAGTCCCTAAAACACAGTAGTCATTTCAAACTTCTCCCTGCCATTATCTTTTACATTCAATCTGTCAGCAAGCCTCGCCGTATCATCTCTCAACATGCATCTTTGAGACACTGCTTCTTCTCCATTTCTGGTGCAACCAATGTAGAGCAAGCTCTCTAGTTCCACTCATCTTGCAACATGGGTGCACTCCTGTGCCGTTTCCCTCCCCTGTCCCCTCCACCCTTAGTTAGGACAGTGTTATCATTACTATACACTTATCTTAAATTCTAATTTTCTCGAAAACTTGATTCTAATCTCTCTTCCATGAAGACTCAACAAATTCAAATGAAATTAGTACCACAGTTTTGTCCTTGCTTCTCAGTGAAAATCCATTAGATTCATTTATAAAATGTTTTTTCTTTCCTTATTTTGTAAGGGTGCTAGGGATCTAGATGTATACTATGATCCCAGGTCTTAGTCACTGAATTGGTAGAGATAAGAAAAGCAACACCGCCATTGTAGGGTGATAGAGGGTCAGGTACAGAGAAAGGGCTCTATAACTAAGCCAGGGGTGGGGCCAGTTATGAGTTGAGTGGAACAAAGTTTAAGAAGAATTTTTAAAAAAGGAAGCAAGGGAATTTGAAAAAAAAAAAAGGAAGGAATTTTAAAAAAGGAAGCTTGGAAGAGGGAACAGAAAAGAGAGATGTAAACACTATTGGCACTTATAAATTCTTAGGTGGGATAGGATTCAGAATT